AATTGAATTGAATTGAGTGAGTGTGTGTGTGTGTGTGTGTGTGTGTGTGTGTGTGTGTGTGTGTGTGTGTGTGTGTGTGTGTGTGTGTGTGTGTGTGTGTGTGAGAGAGAGCGAGCGTGTGTTAGTGTGAGTGTTTGTGTGAATGAGTGTGTGTGTGTGTGTGTGTGTGTGTGAGTGATTCCTTCAGAATCAATTTTAAAAAATAATAATAATATTTACTGATCGGAAGCGTTTTATAGTGTTTGTATAATGTCAGTCAGTATAAATGAAAGCCAGTAAAACTGCATCACATTAATGAGTCTGTGGCGGTAAATGTGTTCAGTTCGGCTTTAAATCGGCTTCATGGTGAAGTGTGTAACTTTAGAGGTAAAAACTAATGACAATTTTGGCTAATTTCCCCCAAAGAGTGTAAATATAGAGCTCGTGACGCTTCCAAACATGAAGTTTCCAGCACAGCGCTGTAATCATGTTTGCTGGCGCTAGACTCACAGAACAAACTTTATATTTGCAATTAATCTCATTTCCTGTTTCTTCCCTTTGATTTAGCAAACTCTCGACCGCTTCTGTGAGATTTACTCCGGCACCTTCTCCTGTCTTTGCCTGTCTTCTTTATGACCCACTGTTCTCTCTCTCTCTCTCTCTCTCTCTCTCTCTCTCTCTCTCTCTCTCTCTCTCTCTCTCTCTCTCTTGTTTTCTTCTCTGGATGTTCTGGGGAATTCGCGTCTAACGTCAGAGGAGTGTGTGTCGAGAGAACGGAGACACTGTAAATACTAGATGGAGTCTATTTCTGTCTCGGAACATGAGATTGACTGTTAAATGCACACACACACACGTGCGCACACACACGCGCGCACACTCTCTCTCTCTCACACACACACACACACACTGTATGCAAACACACACTCAACACATACATGCACACACACTCACTCTCTCTCTCACACACACACACTTACTGTATATATAGAGCATGTTGGTGTTTCTATCCTTAATAAAATATGCATGTACAGAACATGCAAGAAAAAAGTAAGTAACATGGTTGCCTTAAAACTGTAAGTTGATTGAACTGGAAAAAGTGAGTTAATACAATGAAGGAGAATGATTTAATCATCAGAAACTCAAAATTATATGTTATCTGAACTAAATAAATTATTTAAGTTGATTTGACAAAAGAAAAATGTGATTACTGTAAAAAATATTGTTGGTTTAAGAGAGTGAGCCAATCACCAGTAGGGGGCGTGTCCACTCATGATGAGGGAGGAGAGAGAGTGAGCCAATCATCAGTAGGGGGCGTGTCCACTCATAATGAGGGAGGAGAGAGAGTGAGCCAATCACCAGTAGGGGGCGTGTCCACTCATGATGAGGGAGGAGAGAGAGTGAGCCAATCACCAGTAGGGGTGTGTCCACTCATAATGAGGGAGGAGAGAGAGTGAGCCAATCACCAGTAGGGGGTGCGTCCACTCATGATGAGGGAGGAGAGAGTGTGAGCCAATCATCAGTAGGGGGTGTGTCCACTCATAATGAGGGAGGAGAGAGAGTGAGCCAATCACCAGTAGGGGGCGTGTCCACTCATGATGAGGGAGGAGAGAGAGTGAGCCAATCACCAGTAGGGGGTGTGTCCACTCATAATGAGGGAGGAGAGAGAGTGAGCCAATCACCAGTAGGGGGCGTGTCCACTCATAATGAGGGAGGAGAGAGAGTGAGCCAATCACCAGTAGGGGGCGTGTCCACTCATGATGAGGGAGGAGAGAGAGTGAGCCAATCACCAGTAGGGGGTGTGTCCACTCATAATGAGGGAGGAGAGAGAGTGAGCCAATCACCAGTAGGGGGTGTGTCCACTCATGATGAGGGAGGAGAGAGTGTGAGCCAATCATCAGTAGGGGGTGTGTCCACTCATGATGAGGGAGGAGAGAGTGTGAGCCAATCATCAGTTGGGGTGTGTCCACTCATAATGAGGGAGGAGAGAGAGTGAGCCAATCACCAGTAGGGGGTGTGTCCACTCATGATGAGAGAGGAGAGAGAGTGAGCCAATCACCAATAGGGGGCGTGTCCACTCATGAGGGGGAGGTGCCTGTGTTGCATAATTATGTTCATGTGTAGCGTGTTCATGTGTTGGGGGTGGAGCTATCGAGATAGGGGTGTGGTCATTTGGGGTAGAGGGTGTGGCTTGTTTTGGTTTTTTTTTGGTTTTTTTGATGATGATTTCAAATATTAACAGTTTTTTCTCAGAAATTGCTCACTGGTACACTTACATTATAGTGTACCAAACCTCTAATATCATAGTGTACCAAATGAGAGCAGTTTGCAGCATTATTTGAGACTTGGGAGAGATTTTTTATCGATATTGGCATCGGCCGATATCATTCTGAATAATCGGCTGATAAATGTAGTATCGGGTTACGTCATCAGTTCAAGCTGTCAACGCGACCAGAGACAGAAAATGGCGCATGTCGATTACACATTATCTAGTGTGTGTGTGTGTGTGTGTGTGTGTGTGTGCTGCTGGGAGAACAAATCTTGCAAGTGTTGAATGTGCCATTCCTGTGATGCGTGTGTGACGTTCTCCTGGGTTTCAAACCTCAGCGAACAGTGTCAGAAACATCACACTAAATATAACACACACCCTGACAGCGATCCGAACCGCCGGATTCCCTCGCTACTTTGAAGAATTCCAATTACTGTCAGTGTTTTCAGTGTGTGTGAGCGCTCACAGCTCAGTCATTACAGACAGTTGTGTGTGTGTGTGTAATTTCCACTGTAATTAGTGTGCATTCAGGATGCTGTGATTCATCCACAAATTGCTTAAAGAAACAATAAATAAAGTGTATTGAACGGTGGGGGTTTGAATTGGAAAATCTTCACAGATACGAGCAAATCGAAGCGCTTTCGCTTTAAATTGGCTTTCAAACCGACGATGGATTTTTATGGGCTGCCTAAACTTGTGAGGGTAAATCAGCCAGAACCAGACAAGACTGACCTTCTCTCTGTATGCAATCTATAGAGGCGTGAGGATATATCGCCCAACAACACAGCCAATCTAGATTCAATTACCAACTGGGCCAAGAGGGCAATTTATAACTAAACACACACACACATGTGTGTGTGGACGCTCCTGAGGACGAGAGAGGTCGCGCTGCATGTATTAAACTCCTGTGTTTACCGTGGAGAACGCTGAGGAATTCAGCGGCATGACTCTACGAACATAACTCATCGCTGAAATCTCAGGTGCATCCCGCTTACGATTCACAAGATCAAATCCAAACGGAATTTGAATTTATTTCCGAAATGAATATCCTTAGTCACAAAGGTGTGTGCATGCATTTGCATTCTGAATAATTATGACATGTGCTGTGATTTATGTGAGCTCATGGAAAACTCGCGACACAGGTGTGTTACAATTCAGAAAGAGCTGTTTGCCTAGTTTTCTAGTACAAATATTTGTACATTCTTAAAGGTGCAGGAAGCCATTTCTGAGAAACGCTGAAAGTGGATCAGACTGAGCAGCACAACACACTTGTAGCCAATCAGCAGTAGGGGGCGTGTCCACTCATGATGAGGGAGGAGAGAGAGTGAGCCAATCAGCAGTAGGGGGCGTGTCCTCTCATGATGTGGGAGGAGAGAGTGAGCTAATCAGCATTAGGGGGTGTGTCCACTCATGATGAGGGAGGAGAGAGTGAGCTAATCAGCAGTAGGGGGTGTGTCCACTCATGATGAGGGAGGAGAGAGTGAGTCAAGCATCAGTAAGGGGCGTGTTCACTCATGATGAGGGAGGAGAGAGTGTGAGCCAATAAGCAATAGGGGCGTGTCCACTCATGATGAGGGAAGAGAGAGTGAGCCAAACATCAGTAGGGGGCGTGTCCACTCATGATGAGGGAGGAGAGAGTGAGCCAATCATCAGTAGGGGGCGTGTCCACTCATCATGAGGGAGGAGAGAGTGAGCCAATCATCAGTAGGGGGCGTGTCCACTCATGATGAGGGAGGAGAGAGTGAGCCAATAAGCAGTAGGGGGCGTGTCCACTCACGATGAGGGAGGAGAGAGTGAGCCAAACATCAGTAGGGGGCGTGTCCACTCATGATGAGGGAGGAGAGAATGAGCTAATCAGCAGTAGGGGGCGTGTCCACTCATCATGAGGGAGGAGAGAGTGAGCCAATCATCAGTAGGGGGCATGTCCACTCATGATGAGGGAGGAGAGAGTGAGCAAATAAGCAGTAGGGGGCGTGTCCACTCATCATGAGGGAGGAGAGAGTGAGCCAATCATCAGTAGGGGGCGTGTCCACTCATGATGAGGGAGGAGAGAGTGAGCAAATAAGCAGTAGGGGGCGTGTCCACTCATGATGAGGGAGGAGAGAGTGAGCCAAACATCTGTAGGGGGCGTGTCCACTCATGATGAGGGAGGAGAGAGTGAGCAAATAAGCAGTAGGGGGTGTGTCCACTCATGATGAAGGAGGAGAGAGAGTGAGCCAATCATCAGTAGGGGGCGTGTCCACTCATGTTGAGGGAGGAGAGAGAGTGAGCCAAACTTCAGTAGGGGGCGTGACCACTCATAATGAGGGAGGAGAGAGTGAGCCAATCAGCAGTAGGGGGCATGTCCACTCATGATGAGGGAGGAGAGAGTGAGCCAATCAGCAGTAGGGGGCGTGTCCACTCATGAGAGGGAGGTGCCTGTGTAGCATAGCGTGTTCATGTTTTGGGGGTGGAGCTATCGAGATAGGGGTGTGGTCATTTGGGGTAGGGGGTGGGGCTTGTTTTTTGGTGATTTCAAATAGCAACAGTTTTTTCTCAGAAATTGCTTACTGCGCTTTTAAATACGATATGTTTTGTTTTATGAAGAAATAATCAAAATGAAGTGAGGTTGATGCATACAGGAAATAATATCTGCCGAGGCGTTCTGAAGAACAAACTCTTTTTCTTAATTTAATGCGATACGCCAACATGTGGATAACAATAGGTGGATGGATACAGCATACAACATACTTGTCATTCTGTCACTCTCCTCCAGGTTTTACTGGGATCTCACCATGCTTCTCCTGATGGTGGGAAATCTAATCATCATTCCCGTGGGCATCACCTTCTTCAAAGACGAGCACACGCCACCGTGGATCGTCTTCAACGTGGTTTCCGACACCTTCTTCCTCATGGACCTGGTGTTGAACTTCCGCACCGGCATCGTGAAGGAGGACAATGCCGAGATCATTCTGGACCCTCAGCAGATCAAGATCAAATATCTGCGCTCCTGGTTCGTGGTGGACTTCATCTCCTCCATCCCCGTGGACTACATCTTCCTCATCGTGGAGACGCGCATCGATTCGGATTTCTACAAGACGGCACGCGCTCTGCGGATCGTACGCTTCACGAAGATCCTCAGTTTGTTACGACTGCTTCGACTCTCGCGGCTCATTCGCTACATTCACCAGTGGGAGGAGGTGAGTGGACAATAATGTGATCTTTTCATGTGATGTAATATAAATCTATGGCGCTGTGGTGAGCAGGACGGCCGAGGGACGTGAGAGAAAGTCGTGAGGCCGGTGTTGCGATTGCTAATGAGCAGCACCTGCGAAGCACACCGGTCTCGCATCTCTCACGAAGGAGCGGAGCCATAAAGGGGGAGCGACGGAGTGGATGATCGAGAGAGGAACAGGCCTGCTTTTGTTTGTGTTTTATATTTTATTTGGTAAGCCAGCAGTCGTCCGTGAGGGGCTGCTGGCAGGTGCTGCTCATTAGCAATCGCAACACCGGCCTCGCGACTTTCTCTCACGTCCCTCGGCCGTCCTGCTCACCACAGGCGCCTCAGAAAGTGTGTGTGAAATTTCAGATCAAAATTCCCCCCAGATTATTTATTATAGCTCGTCACATTTGCCCCTTTTGGGCTATGAGTAACGTGCCGTTTTTGTGTGTCTCTTTAAATGAAAAATTAGCTGCAACTACGCCTCCGTTCTGGTTTCACTGTTAGAACTGGTTTCACTGGTAGAACTGGTTACACTGTTAAAATTGGTTTCACTGTTGGAACTGATTTCACTGTTAGAACTGGTTTCACTTTTGGAACTGGTTTTACTGTTGAAACAGGTTTCACTGTTAGAACTGGTTTCACTGTTGGAACTGGTCACTGTTAGAACTGGTTTTACTGTTAGAACTGGTTTCACTGTTAGAACTGGTTTCACTTTTGGAACCGGTTTCACTGTTAGATCTGGTTTCACTGTTGAAACAGGTTTCACTGTTAGAACTGGTTTCACTGTTGGAACTGGTCACTGTTAGAACTGGTTTTACTGTTAGAACTGGTTTAACTGTTAGAACTGGTTTCACTTTTGGAACCGGTTTCACTGTTAGAACTGGTTTCACTGTTAGAACTGGTTTCACTGTTGAAACAGGTTTCACTGTTAGAACTGGTTTCACTGTTGGAACTGGTCACTGTTAGAACTGGTTTTACTGTTAGAACTGGTTTCACTGTTAGAACTGGTCACTGTTAGAACTGGTTTCACTTTTGGAACCGGTTTCACTGTTAGAACTGGTTTCACTGTTAGATCTGGTTTCACTGTTGAAACAGGTTTCACTGTTAGAACTGGTCACTGTTAGAACTGGTTTCACTGTTGGAACTGGTCACTGTTAGAACTGGTTTTACTGTTAGAACTGGTTTAACTGTTAGAACTGGTTTCACTTTTGGAACCGGTTTCACTGTTAGAACTGGTTTCACTGTTAGAACTGGTTTCACTGTTGAAACAGGTTTCACTGTTAGAACTGGTTTCACTGTTGGAACTGGTCACTGTTAGAACTGGTTTTACTGTTAGAACTGGTTTCACTGTTAGAACTGGTCACTGTTAGAACTGGTTTCACTTTTGGAACCGGTTTCACTGTTAGAACTGGTTTCACTGTTAGATCTGGTTTCACTGTTGAAACAGGTTTCACTGTTAGAACTGGTCACTGTTAGAACTGGTTTCACTGTTGGAACTGGTCACTGTTAGAACTGGTTTTACTGTTAGAACTGGTTTAACTGTTAGAACTGGTTTCACTTTTGGAACCGGTTTCACTGTTAGAACTGGTTTCACTGTTAGAACTGGTTTCACTGTTGAAACAGGTTTCACTGTTAGAACTGGTTTCACTGTTGGAACTGGTCACTGTTAGAACTGGTTTTACTGTTAGAACTGGTTTCACTGTTAGAACTGGTCACTGTTAGAACTGGTTTTACTGTTAGAACTGGTTTAACTGTTAGAACCGGTTTCACTGTTAGAACTGGTTTCACTGTTGGAACTGGTTTTACTGTTAGAACTGGTTTCACTGTTAGAACTGGTTTCACTGTTAGAACTGGTTTCACTGTTAGAACTGGTCACTGTTAGAACTGGTTTTACTGTTAGAACTGGTTTAACTGTTAGAACTGGTTTCACTTTTGGAACCGGTTTCACTGTTAGAACTGGTTTCACTGTTAGAACTGGTTTCACTGTTGAAACAGGTTTCACTGTTAGAACTGGTTTCACTGTTGGAACTGGTCACTGTTAGAACTGGTTTTACTGTTAGAACTGGTTTCACTGTTAGAACTGGTCACTGTTAGAACTGGTTTCACTTTTGGAACCGGTTTCACTGTTAGAACTGGTTTCACTGTTAGATCTGGTTTCACTGTTGAAACAGGTTTCACTGTTAGAACTGGTCACTGTTAGAACTGGTTTCACTGTTGGAACTGGTCACTGTTAGAACTGGTTTTACTGTTAGAACTGGTTTAACTGTTAGAACTGGTTTCACTTTTGGAACCGGTTTCACTGTTAGAACTGGTTTCACTGTTAGAACTGGTTTCACTGTTGAAACAGGTTTCACTGTTAGAACTGGTTTCACTGTTGGAACTGGTCACTGTTAGAACTGGTTTTACTGTTAGAACTGGTTTCACTGTTAGAACTGGTTTTACTGTTAGAACTGGTTTTACTGTTAGAACTGGTTTAACTGTTAGAACCGGTTTCACTGTTAGAACTGGTTTCACTGTTGGAACTGGTTTTACTGTTAGAACTGGTTTCACTGTTAGAACTGGTTTCACTGTTAGAACTGGTTTCACTGTTGGAACTGGTCACTGTTAGAACTGGTTTTACTGTTAGAACTGGTTTAACTGTTAGAACTGGTTTCACTTTTGGAACCGGTTTCACTGTTAGAACTGGTTTCACTGTTAGAACTGGTTTCACTGTTGAAACAGGTTTCACTGTTAGAACTGGTTTCACTGTTGGAACTGGTCACTGTTAGAACTGGTTTTACTGTTAGAACTGGTTTCACTGTTAGAACTGGTCACTGTTAGAACTGGTTTTACTGTTAGAACTGGTTTAACTGTTAGAACCGGTTTCACTGTTAGAACTGGTTTCACTGTTGGAACTGGTTTTACTGTTAGAACTGGTTTCACTGTTAGAACTGGTTTCACTGTTAGAACTGGTTTCACTGTTAGAACTGGTTTCACTGTTAGAACTGGGTTCACTGTTAGAACCGGTTCCACTGTTAGAACTGTGTGAGATTAGAAATGTGTGAGATTAGCTCTCCGTTTACTCTGGTTGTCTTGTAGAAATGCTTGCGAAACTGAAGAGATCTCGTTGGACACAGAAATGCAGCATATGTTACACGACCCTCATCTTCAGTCATGGAGGTTTGGCAGAAATCGAAGTGTTGAGTCTTACACGTATCAATTAATGAATGTTTCAAAGTAGAGTGCTAACATTAGCCTGTAATTTCCTCTCCTCCTCTTGAGGATTGCTTTGAATGGTGATTACAGTGATGATTAGAAGCGTTCCTCTCTCTCTCTCTCTCTCTCTCAGTGGTGAGAAGTGAAGCTATAGATGCAGCTGGTGTCTCATTTAGTTGAGCCGTGTTCGTTCTCATGACAGCAGGTCACACACTCTCCCATTGCAGCCGCCACTGATTCACCAGATCCTATTAGAAGTGCGCAAAACATGTTAGAAGACTTAATAACATCAGTCTAAACAAACCGTGAGATCGTGTGTAAAGCTGACGTTTACTTTAGTGATAATGTGACCTTGAAAAACCAGTCACAGGGGTCATTTTATTTTTTTTTAATTGAGATACTGTATATACATCATATGCAAGCTGAATAAATACACTTTCCATTGATGTATGATTTGTTAGGATAGGACTTTATTTGGCAGAAATATCTGGAATGTGAGAGGGTAAAAAAATCAAAACTGGAAAAGTTGTGCATTTATGTTTGCAATTGTGGAAATTTACAAAAATATCTTTATGGAACATAATCTTTACTTAATATCCTAAGGATTTTTGGAATAAAAGAAGAATCGATAATTTTGACCCATACAATGTGTAGTTGGCTAATGGTATTCAGTATCTTCCTTCAGTTACTCTGAGCAATATAGCAGATATTGTGTGCTTGCGTGTGTGTGTGTGTGTGTGACAGATGAGATGAGAGCCGTAATGTGTGACAGAAAGAGAGCGGAAATGGAAGGCCATCGCATTAAAAGTGTAATTTTTAAGGGCACAGTCCCTGCTTTTAGTTTAATGATGTCTCTTGACTGTCATGAATAGTGATCATGATTTGATTTAAAACAGCTATTTTTGCAACTGAATGATTAAAGGAGTAGTTCACTTTTTAAAAAACTTTTGCTGATAATTTACTCACCCCCGTGTCATCCAAGATGTCCATGTCTTTCTTTCTTCAGTCGAAAAGAAATTAAGGTTTTTGATGAAAACATTCCAGGATTTTCTGCATATAATGGACTTCAATGGGGTCCAAACGGTTCAAGGTCCAAATGAGAGTTTCAGTGCAGCTTCAAAGGGCTTTAAACGATTCCAGACGATGAATAAGGGTCTTATCAAGCGAAACAATCGCTCATTTAAAAAAAATAATAACAAAGTTTAAGTTTTATAAGCTCAAATGGTCGCCTTGCTCTGTTCTGTATTGCGCGTTCGTGACTCTCCTGTTCGAACTCATTCATCAAAAATGAACAAATCTTTTTCCGAGTCATTTGGTTCATTCAACGAACGAAACGAATGAATTGACTTGGAAAAAGATTAGTTCTTTTTGATGAACGAGTTTGAACAGGAGAGTCACGAACGCGCATCATAACAGAGCAAGGCGAGCATTTATGCTTATAAAACTTAAACTTTTTTTTTTTTTTTTTTTTTTTTAAATGAGCGATCGTTTCGCTTGATAAGACCCTTATTCATCGTCTAGAGTCGTTAAAGCCCTTTGAACAGTTTGTAGTTTGCATTGAAACTGTCTTTTGGACCTTGAACCGTTTGGACCCCATTGAAGTCCATTATATGGAGAAAATCCTGGAATGTTTTCATCAAAAACCTTAATTTCTTCTCGACTGAAGAAAGAAAGACATGGACATCTTGGATGACACGGGGGTGAGTAAATTATCAGCAAAAGTTTTTTTTAAAAGTCAACTACTCCTTTAAGAGTATAAAATAGTCACTTCTGGGATATACT